TCAAGGAAAGTGCAAGGAGACAAGAAAGATTTCGATTTGGAAAAAATACTCATGTACCCGGTCGGGTATTGCCTATACCCGATCGGGTATTCACTTGATTCGATTGTCCAAATCATATCCGGGAACAAATAATCGTGGGAGCAAATTTTCGTGAAGATTTGTCACATACCCGATCGGGTATGCCGACATACCCGATCGGGTATGCCCAGAAAAATCACTTTCTGGGCAATTTCCTGAGATACCCGGTCGGGTATCCTATATACCCGATCGGGTATCAGACCCTGCAGCTCCCAAAAGCCTATAAATACACCCCTTTCCTTCCCAATAAAATCACCAATTCACATATACTTCTCAGCTCAGTTTAGACAAGTTATTTCTTTATATTTTTCATCATGTTTAGTCTCCAAATGAGGAGCTAAACTCTTCCATCTTGGTTTTGCTACTTTGAAGCTTAATGAATTTGTAAGTTGTGAGTTATTATCTTTAATCTTCTTCCTTGAATATTAATTCATTCTTTAAATACTATTTCTATATCAATGTTGGGGAGTGTTACTAAGATGACAATTAGTTAACATCTTGACATTAGTTATAGTAATAGTCATTTCTTCCTCTACGTTAATATCGGGGAGTGTTACTAAGATGACAATTAGTTAACATCTTGATATTAACTATAGTAGGATTCATCTTCTTTAATATTCTTCCTTGAGTATTAATTAATTCCTATTCATATTTTATATTAATATTTTGAACATTACTTAAAGGATCAACTAGTTTTGTTTCATATATTAATTATTACTAGAATCGGTCGATTAATACGCTTGTTATTAATTCGGTCCTTTCGCGGTAGTAAACTTGGGTTATTAATGCATGCGTTTCATGGTTAATAAACCAAGGGGAATTAATTATATTGATTAAACCAATAAACCGCTTGTGTTGAGGTTATCAATCTCAATCGTTTTCATCTTGATTTTATTGCTACTATCGAGTGAATATACGGCGCGTGTTCTATATTAACTCGGTAGTAAGTTTTATTAATGAACGCGTCTCGTTATTAATAACTACCCTCGATGAATTGGATATACTCCTCGATTGAGTATTCGAGAGGAAGATAGTTAAAGATATAACCGGGATCGACGAACATTTCATTAAGTGGATAAAAGCAAAGCCAAGTCTTCTTCTCATTAATTAAACCACATAACTCGTTCATCTTCGTATTTAAATATAATTTAAAGTTCATCAACCAAATATAAACCCCCCTTATTGTTACTTATCTATTTCTGTAAGAAGAAAAGTATTCCTTTCCCTGTGGATACGAACCTTACTACACTATACTACGTATTAGTGTCGTATTGTATTATTACTTTGAGTGCACCTCACGACAAAGTGCACGTCAGAGGTAATTATGAATGATTTTAATTTCAAATGTATTTTATTCTTTCATTATTGTGATACAATGGTAATTTATTGTAGGATAATGAGATGAGTGAGAAGCAAAGCAGCATGGATGGCAATGCGAATGATAATGGAGCAGCTTTTGTTGAACAAAATTTCCATGTTATAGGAGTAAAAGTGTTAATTTGAAAAATTGGCATTTATAGACAACTTAAATGACATTAAGTACAACATTTGGTATTAAATGTATAATATGAATATAATGTTGTTTGTAGGAGAAACAGAAAGATGATGAAGAAGTTAAGAATAGTGATAAAACTGCAGAAAAGCAAGTACATGACCTGCAAAGAAACGATGTTGTGGTAATAATAAATCATTTAATTTCAAATTTATTTTGTTATATAACTTATGATTGTTACATGTTTGTTTATTGTAGGACAATCAGATGAGTGAACATCACATTAGCATGGATGCCGATAAGAATGAGAATGGAGGACTAGGGGTTGATGAGAATCTGCAAGTTAGTAATTGAAAGAGTTAATTTTCAAATGTGTCTCTTAAAGACACTGAAATGGCATTAAATACTAAACTATGTGTCTCTTAAAGACACTGAAATGACATTAAATACTAAACTTGGAATAAAATGTATAAAATGAATATAACGGGTTTTGTAGGACAATCAGAGTGATGATCTACAAGGGAAAAACAATGTCTGCAGTGACATTGAAAATGAGAATGATATTGCATTGCTAGATGATGAAATAATAGCAAAAAGGCTTACTAGTGATTGTTTCTGGGCAAACTTGATAAATGATGCTCCAAATTTCAATCTCTTAACTCAGAGTGAAGAAGCACTAGAAGAAGTACAGGTAATATTTCATATATATTTTTAAATATGAGACAATACTAGTGGTTATGGCCCTAATTTAACATTACATTACATGTACATATGTCAAAATAAATTTATGTATTTTGACATATGATCAGAACAAGGACAAGGAAGAAGAATTGAGGGATGATGTGACTGGGCACGAAAAAACAACTGAAGGCAGTGCAGGAGATGAAAAGGTAATAGCATAAGAATTAATGCTTATAAGGCTTTAAGTCCCATCATTATGGCATTAAAGGAAAATTTTCTAAATGTTAAATGCAGGGGGCCAGTAGTAATCATAAAGAATGTGAAGAAGAAGAAAAATGGAGTCAAGAGAACACACAATTTATAATGGAATTGTGTTTAAAAGCTGATGAGGTTGAAAAACAAGCACGTGAAAGAAAAATGCAGGTTAGGGAATTAATTTATACAAATAAATGTTAATATTTAGTTGATAAATCTAATTTTTTTCATTATTATTACTTAAATACCATGTAATATGTCATTATACAATATAAGATGACTTTAAAGACATATTCTGTCAGTTTGTCAGTTGGACATTCTTACAAGATACATCTTCTGTCAGTTGCTCAGTGTGGTGATTTCTTTTAACTGTTTTCCAAAACAGGGAAAAGAAAATGATATAAAAAAAGGAAAGCATTGTGCAAGATCTCCTGATAGATACACTCCAGCTGAGCAGAGTAAGGAAGCCAAAAGAAGAAGGAAGGTGAAGGCAAAAAGGAAAGATGAAGATGGATATTTGCCTCCGATGAAACAAATACGTGGACCATTCCCAGAAGACCCAACAGATGTGGTAGATGAAGGAAAAATAAAAGAAGTGGAAGATTTCTTGCATGTTGGGCTTCTAAAGATTATGAACACCAAAGAGAAGAGAAGATACAAGATTGGTGAAGAAAGAATGAATCCATTGGTGCTGGACATGTTCAAGATTGAAGCTAAAACTTGGTTGTATGACCTGTGGATGAACAATGCATGGTTAAGTGATTCGGTATGATTTATATTATATAAAAATTCATAAATAATACACAAATAGCAGGATGGTAATTCATATTAATTTAATTTTTCAGCATATAGATGTGGTCATGTACTATTTAGGGATGAAGCGTGCTCACTACCAGCTGCCACAGAGATACACAACTACAGGGGCATTTTTCATGAGTGTACTCAAGAGAGAGTATGATTTAATGCTAAATGGACAAAGTAATGTTCAGAATGCAGCAGAAAGAGCGTATACCATGCAATTCTGGGAAATATGGGATCTTTCTTTCTACATTGGGCAGATGCGGATTTTGTTTATATACCTCTACACACCATTAACCATTGGATTTTATTGGTGCTTGAGGTGAAACAGAGGAAAGTGAAAGTATACAATTCAAGTAAGAGGAGAGATGATTCATTGAGAGATATTGCATCATACAGAGCTACTATTGAGAAATTTTTGCCTACAAATCTTTGTTTGATGTAAGGGTTCTATATTGAAAACTGTTATTGATTGCATACATTTTCAAATGGTGGATAAGAGTCTTCTTGTCTTTATAGATGGCAAGAGGAATCAGACAAGTAGGATGATGATGTGTAATAACCTCAGCATTATGGTGAAGGGTAAAACTTTTAGAGGAAGACGATTTAGAACTAACAGAAGAAGAGATAGCAATTGAGGTGTCTGCAACACCAGAAAAATCAGATGATGAAGTATCATCATGTGGTTCAACGTTGTAAACAATCTCATGATCAGAAACATCAACATGTGATTCAATACTAGATTCAGACAACAAAGAAGACAGAGTTGAATTACTAGAATGAGGAATTGAGTTGTGAAGTAGTGAGGAAGGTTCAACATCAACAACTTCATTACAAACAAACTGAATGCATAGAGGAAATTTCTCAAAATCAGTTTGAAGACCTTTGAGATGAAGATAAAATTTGAATGTCTGTTCATCATGAATACAAACTGGCGGGGGACATCCATCAACAACATAAGAAACTATGAAAGAATGGTTTGGTTTGTAGAGATTTAAGATTTCACTCATACTTTGAATAAAAGAAACATATGTCGCATCTGCACGAATTTGAATACCACACGTCTCCCTATGAGTGAAAGTACAATTACTCAACCATATACCATCCAGTTTGACCATAATCAGCAAAACAGTATCCATTTTGAAGGTATGATTGGCTAAAAAAAGAAAAACAAAGTGTTATGCAAAGCATGACAAAACATATTTAAATCAGAATCAGAGAGAAAGACTATAAAATAAAAAGGAAAAAATGTAAGCATGTACTCCCTCCGTCCCAGAAAATTCTTCCTAGTTTGACTTGGATCGGAGTTTAAGAAAATGGGAATAAAGTGGAAATGTGTGGTTGTAGTTGTGTAAGAAAAAGGTGAAATGAATGTGAGCCACACAAATAATCAAAAAGGTGAAGTTGGAAGAATTTTCTGGGACGTCCCAAAAAGGAAACTTGGAAGAATTTTCTGGGACGGAGGGAGTACTTAACAGTAAATGATGCAAAGTCAGTTGAAAAAATAAAACACAACAGATGGCATTAACAGAAAAGAGGATAGCAATAATTACTAACACGATACATGTCAAACAATAGTGAAACTGTCACTACAAATTGAAAGACTAAATCATGATGAGTAGAATGGAATTACGAAATATTTGTTGAAGTAGAGTCCATAAATAGAGAAATATGAATAACAAGACATAAATTGCAGAGATTATCTATAATGAATTAACTTAATTAACAATAACAACTATATTGTTGAAGCAAGTTCACAAAAACCAGAGTACTACAGCAGATAATTGATGAAGAACATACTGAAAAGCAACGAAATCAATATGTATACTTAAGTACCTAATGAACAGAAATCTAAGTCCGCAAAACAATTTAGCCATAGTACAGAACTATAAACAAAGTAACGATCAAGTAGAAGCATAGATGAGATCAAGGATGGAGTCAAACAGGAATTTAATTTGGAGTTTGTGTTCTGAAATAGCTAAATCAAAGTAACGAAAATATGCAAAACAATTCAGAAAACATGCAGACGTAAATTCTTCGAGATTTGAAGCAGAGTATTACGGAGCTAGTAGAAATTAAGAGTAACGTACTACGGAGCTTCAAATTCAATAGAAGATTCTCCCAATTGGAACGAAACAATAGATCATGTGTGATATGGTGTAGCTGCTGAACGACGATCACAGGTACAGAAGCTTCTCAGAACTACGAACTTACAGAGCAAGGAAGAGACGGCGCACCTAAGGGGAATTAATTTGGTGTTGAATGAGGCGCGCGTATAAACAGGGGTAGTTTAGGAATAAAAAACGGCGACTCAGCAAAGTACTCCTATTTAGGTAAATATTTAAACAGTACTCCTATATTAGAACTTTCCGATTAATTTACTCCTATCTAAGTCAAATACTTTTGGATTTGCACTTTCTTGACTTTTCACTTTCTCGTGAATTTTCTGTCTTACGTTTAGAGCCATTTGGGTCAACATTACTTTTTTCCATCTTGTGATGAAACCCAGTTGACTGAACTTGATTCCTCTCTTTATGGCGCAACAGTGTATGGACGTTATCAATAGAAAACTCTACAATTGGACGGTGCTCTGGTCCGAAAGTCCCTGGAACACATGTAACAACATGAGATAATTCAGCTTGGATTCACCTGAGCTGGACAAATTAAAATAACCTTCTCTACACCAAAAAGCTAAACAGTACTCCATCTGGTCCTTGAAACAACTCACTTGTGAGTGATGAAATTAAACAGATCAATAAAAACATCTATAAAACTCTAAATCATCTCACACTACAATTACCTCAGTAATGAACAGCACAATCCAACATATACTCCAAGTCTTCAATAAGGGCAAATAGTAGGAAGGGGAGAGGGTTAAAAGCTTCATTGCAATTGGAGTGTAGTATATAAGGAATTAAGGAGTATTACCAGGATTATTATTAAGAACTCTGAGAGCCACAAGTGCATGTTGGTGCTCAGTGAACTCAACAAAGGCAACTCCACGAGAGTGATTCTTGACTACCAGTTTACCCTTTTTAGTATCCTCCAAAAACTTTATCTGCAATTTAGAGAGAGAAGCACAAAAGTTGTTGAATATTGCTAGGCTGTAGATAGATAGACAGAGCTATCTGAGGTGATGACTAAATTACCTAAATAACTAATCACCACTTACCTGCCTGATCATGGGCTTTTGCTTAGTAGCTCGAGAAGTAACTGCATCTAAGCAAAGTTTCTTAAGCTCTTTATCAGTCATTGATTTTGGAAGATTGTATATAATTAGTCGAGTCCTTGATACATGGAAGTTTGGTGACTTAAGTTTGATCATCTTCTTTTCATGCAATCTGTAGAGAAATACACTAAAACTGTTCATACTCAAACAAATGCATGCACACGAGAAAAGGGGAAAATATATTTTTCTTGAGGTTTTGAAATATTATTTTCCATACAAGTTTAAATGACTATTAGTAAAAAATATAAAAAAATATTTGTATAGTTTAAATTGAGATGACTTTAAAATTATTAGTAATAATTTACTTTGTGTCTCATTTTATTGAGCAAGAGTCTTTGTTTAAAAAATTGAAGAAAATTTGATGCGTTTGAAATAAAGAAATGACAATAATAATTCAAAATTGTATATGGATTTAGAAACTCTTTTTAATAATTCATGAATATGAAAAATTTCGGGTGTTGTTAGTATATTATACATAGTATTATATTGAATAGTAAAATAATATTTTAAAACGGGTCGGTCCGGTTCCCGTTTTTTCAAATTTAATACCCGTATGGTACCTAAATTATTTAAGACTCGCCCCGTTTGGGTTTTCTAAAATTAGGACCCGGCTCTAACCCGCTCAAACCCGTATTATTCACCCCGACCCACGGCTTTTGTACCCGTTTGCCCACCCCTATGAAAATGTTCATCGCTCCCGGTTATATCTTTAACTATTTTCTCTCGAATACTCAGTCATTGAGTACTTCCAATTTATCGAGGGTAGTTATTAACGACCAGACGTGTTCATTAATAAAATTTATTATCCAGCCAATATAGAACACGCGTCTTATATTGACCCGCTAGTAGCAATAAAATTTTAGAAGAAATCAACTGAATTCACAATCTCAACACAAGCGGTTTATTGGCCTCTTTAATCCACATAACTAAGTACCCTTGGATTCTTGTAATAATTAATATGAAAACAAAAGTAGTTAATATTAACTATGAGACGCAAGCACTAGTAATCTAAGGTTATTAAAGCATACTCTTTGATGGATTCTTGTAATAATTAATATGAAAACAAAAGTAGTTAATCCTTTAAGTAATGCTCAAATATTAATACTGTTGAAAAGATTAAACGAACAATTAAAGCATACTCTTTGATGGATTCTTGTAATAGTTAATTTGAAAACAAAAGTAGTTAATCCTTTAAGTAATGCTCAAATATTAATATGAGATATAAATAGGAATGTAATTAATATTCAAGAGAAGATGATTAAAGAAAATAAGCCTACATTTTCTCGCATGACTGCCGCCGCATGTGAGAAACCCTAAAAGAGTGAGACACCGTTTGGAGAGGAAAGGCGAAGACTCTTGGACGTCAAATCTTAAAAAAATGGTCTATACACTCGTATGAGTGATGTTTTCTTCCCTATGATTTCTAGGGTTCTTCTTCTGTCAATTTTGACAGTGGTGTTATAGATGGTCTCTTGTCAAATTAATGAGGACGGACTTTTGTTGGTGGAGGCTACAGCGTCAAGGCTGCGAATGGGATCCGAGCGATGGAGGGTGAAGATGAAGTGATGATGATTCGGCCCCCTCCTGAACCGCCTCCATGGAGGATCTGTGAGACTATGGTTCCCGCCGCCGTCATGGGTCATCTGATCCATCCGTTTATCTTTTTTAATTTCATTTTATTCAGGTTTAGCTTTTTAATAAGGAACTTTGTTCTTATCGTTTTGTTTTTGGTTAAAGTTCATGGTACTAGGTTTATTACGATGACTGAGGCTTCAGGTAGATTTGATATGGTTAGTAGGGGACAGATCTATTTATTCAACAATAGTTGCATTAAACCCATCTGATGGTTAGCAATTCGTACTGCTCCTTTAGGGGTGATCGTCTTTATGTCTAATCGTAGAGCTATAAGTAGTAGTTGGAAGGTGAAGGTTGTAGTCAGTGTTGGTCATTTTGACATTGATGCAACGATCTTGATTCTAATATAATGATATCAATATAGGCGCTTTCCTCTTCAAAAAAAAAACTTTCAACTTACAAAACACGAGTTTCAATATAGCAAAACGAATGAATACTAAAAAAACATTTTTACTGTGTTTGTGAAAAAGCCTAACCAAGACCAAGACATATAATGAGAGCCTTAGGGCATGTTTGTTAATACTCAAATCGCCTAGATAGGCTTATGCTGCAGAAACTTATGAAGTTCTGGTTGAAGTGGTTGTATTGATTAATTCTGCTGATTTATGAAAAACTTATATTTAAATTATATTTTATTAATAAAATAAAGAATATATATATATATATATATATATATTGATTTTGGTTCAGGTGAGAAATGCATCTAATGTGAGAAATGAGAATGAATCTCAGCCATTGGATTTACGAAGTTGCACTAAAATTGGCTTTATGTTGATGTAATATTTAAATTTTGCACATGTTGCACTAAAACTGTTTCATGTTGCACTAATATTTGACGGCGTTGCACCGAAATAGCTTCATGTTGCACTAGACACGTGTAATACGGATTTTTCATAAGTATTTACAGAAATGCCACCGTGCTAGATTGCATAATTCAGTGCATCATGAGGTGTCTTTTACTGCAACTTAGTCGAATCCAATGGCTGAGATTCATTCTCATTTCTCACCCAAAGGGTTCTTCTCACTTGAACCTTACCCTATATATATATATATATATATATATATATATATATATATATATATATATGAAAAACAGCTAAAATGATCTTCTTCCTTAACCTCAGCCAATTGACATTCATGTTATTTCCGTGTTTATAATTGTGTTTTTGATTAGTTTTGAGTGATTGTTACTCTAGAAATTACACACTTTTGGTGTAATAGTTTAGTTTGTAAAAATGTTTGTAAATTGTTTAGATTAGGTTGGTTCTGAGCTCAAAATGCTAGGGGTACACAAGTTGTACACAACTTGTACACAATGTCGGTCACAGACATTTGGTACGGAGTTGCCTGTGACAACAGACAACAGTTGTCCACAGACAAATTTTGTCTGTTTTCACAGACATTTTTTTTTTTTGTAAAAAGTACTTGTCAGTGTCAGGCGGCGGCTCTCAGTGTACTTTTGCAAAAAAGTAAATGTCTGTGGAAACAGACAAAATTTGTCTGTGTACACAGACAACTCTTGTCTGTGAACACAGGCAACTCCGTGCCAAATGTCTGTGACCGACATTGTGTGTACAAGTTGTGTACAACTTGTGTAACCCTAGCATTTTTCAATAATTATACTATGCAAAATATGTATATTATACATAGTACGGAGTATATATTATTATGTACTACAGAGTAGTTTTTATGATTATTTTAATAGTTTATTATTTTATAATTTATAACATATACGATTAATAAAATAGAAGACTTACAGGCTGGGAATACACATATATTGATATATATATATATATATATATAGACACACACAACAACAACAACCAAGCCTTAGTCCCAAACGATATTGGGGTCGGCTAACATGAATCGATACATGATATCACTCCTCCACACGAATATCTGCCCTCCATTTTGCTCTCTCCAAAGTCATACCCTCATCCAATCCAAGAAGAAGTATATCCCTTCTGACTTCCCTAACCCATGTTTGTTTATGCCTTCCTCTCCCTCTCTTCCCTGCCTCTTTTCCACACATCTCAACGCGTCTGACAGGTGCATCACTCGGTCTTCTATGTACATGACCAAACCACCGTAGTCGCGACTCTCGCATCTTATCTTCAATAGGTGCTACTCCCACCCTTTGTCTGATTGTCTCATTCCTCACGCGGTCCTTTCTAGTATGCCCACACATCCAACGTAGCATGCGCATATCTGCCACACTCATCTTTTGAATGTGGCATTGTTTCACCGCCCAACACTCTGTGCCATACAGTAATGCGGGTCTAATTGCTGTCCTATAAAATTTACCCTTCAGTCTAGTCGGCATACCTCGATCGCATAGAAATCCTGACACACTCTTCCACTTCATCCACCCTGTTCTGATTCTATGGGATACATCTCCATCTAACTCACCGTCCTTCTGAATTATGGAGCCCAAGTAACGGAACATATCGCTGACCGGTGTTTCCTTACCATCTAAAGTAATTCCGCTATTACCACTGCTTCTACCTCCACCAAATTTGCACTCCATGTACTCTGTCTTGCTCCTACTTAGTCTGAAACCCTTGTTCTCCAATGTTTGTCGCCATATTTCCAATTTTGCTTTAACCCCCGATTGCGTCTCATCAATCAATACAATATCGTTGGCACACATCATGCACCACGGTATATCGTCTTGAATTGACTTTGTAAGTTCATCCATGACTATGGCAAATAAAAAAGGGCTCAGAGCCGATCCTTGGTGCACTCCGATAGTAATAGGGAACTCCGTAGTTCTCCCTACACTAGTACGGACACTTGTAGTACAATCCTCATACATATCCATGATGATGCTGATATACTTGCTTGAAATGTCTTTTCTAGTTAAGGCCCACCAAAGAACTTCTCGAGGTACCCTATCATATATATATACATACACACACACACACACACACACACACCCTTTCATTATACACACACAACTTAATTAATTAAAATATTAATAAATTGAAGCCAAGAAGTGATCGAGGATTGGGAACTGGTCTGCTACTCTGCTTTTGCGAGCGAGGGACTAAAGGAGGGTGATACTTGCCGATTCGTCTGCTTCCCGCGACTCTGCGAGGCTGTGACTTGGTTTGGCTAAACAGCTTTGGCTTGCTTTTAATTAAAGCTTAAATCTATTTTTATTTGGGTTCTGGGCCTCCGTAATAGGGGTCCAACTTTTCAATAAGGTGAGGACTTCATCACCGTAATAGGGTTCGACGCCTGGACGACGCCCGTTCACGGCTATTCTTCATCTGGCGAGGCGAGTGAAGCTGGCGGGCAGTCCCTAGCGCCAGGGCGCCTAGTCGGCGACGCCGTGACAACCATGGTTAAACTAGTAATAACCAACTAAAGATATGCAATAATTGAAGCATAGTTGTCATGGTGTATGGCGACATCCATGATGCCGAGACATTTTTCATGGTGATGGCGATCACTCATTTATGGCGTCACCCCATGACAAAAAAGTAACAAAAATT